TGAAGCTGATGATTTATCGTTCTTGGTCTGAATTAAGGTCAAAGCCATCCTATCCTTAGTTAGGTGTTACTCTATTGGTCATTTTCCAAAATTTCATTGAATTGGCTTCTAAAACACCCCATAAGCACATTTACTCTGACATGTATCACCCATAAAGTCTTAGAGGGGATAATTTATTAATTTAAAAAAAGTTAAAAGTAATTTATTGATCATTCACCCTCATTGTGGTTTCTCTGTCCGATCATCAATCATGGTTCTTCTAGGGACTAAGAAATATATTCCAAGTATAATAGGGACTTCCTTATCATCTAAAACTATAAAGTCCACTGGAAATATAAATTTATCCACCTTAATAAGTAAATCCCTTATATTCTCATAGGATAGGTGAGTGAATGACCAACCAACTGAAGGGTTACGGCGGTAGCTGAAAGTTATCCATGGTCTTAATCTCTTAAATATAAACAAAGACATAAACTTGATGTTGGCTCCTGCATCACATTAAACTATCCTAAATAATTTCTCTTCTATGGCATAAAAAATGGTAAAACTACTAACATCCTTAAGTTTTGTGAAAGTTTCTTTTGTGGGATCACACTCCATTCTACTGCTAGGTACATAATATTAAAGTCATCTGGTTTTCATTTCTTATTCATGATTTCCTTCATGAAGTTAACACAGCTAGGTAATTTTCTAAAGCTTATGCAAAAGAGATGTTAACTATAAGCTTCTTGAACACATCTGACATTCTTTAAAACTGCCAGTCTAATTTATGCTTTTAAAGTTTATAGAGAAATGATGGCGGTGGTCTCACTTGTTCTTTCCTAGACTTAGAGGCAAAATTTTCTAAGTCTATGATAGTTTTTTTCACTAATTTTATCAGGCTTAGGTTGTTCAGGATTATGCTCTCCTTTATTTATCTCTTTGAGTTCATTTCTGCTTCTTAATCTGATGGCCTTAATATGCATTTATTGTCTATTTCAGATTCACTTTTGGTTACTTGGTAAAGTCCCATGAGGTCTATTACTTAAATAATTATTTATTTGCTCTAATTAATTTCAAATACTCTTTACAGTTTGACCCTGTAATTAGTTCCCCATCTATAACACAATCTCTTGTAAAGATAATTTTTTCTCCTTAAATTATGAATTAGAAATGAATCCAGGTGGGGAAGTCAATCTCGGGTTATTATTTATGTGACTGTTCCAGTTGCCAATGAACTAGGTTGGTTACTATCCCAAGGTTGATTTTCTACATTTTGTTGTTGTTCCAATTAAAATTTTGGTGATTCCTATAACTAGAGTTATAAGTATTGTAATAATGGGTGTTAAGTTTATTATTTTTAACATTTAGGGACTCTACAACACGAGGGTCAACTAACTGACCATAATCATTCTCTTCGATTTCTAGTGATTCTAGTGTAGAATTCAATCCTAAATTATCCATTTTTATCGATACAACTGCTACTTATGAAGTCAGAATTGGTAACAAATTAGTGTCATGGACACTGGCTAATCTCATGAGTTAACTCTCTCATAAGGATATTGAAAATTGTTAGTAGCCATCTCCTATATTTGTGCATAAACTTCCTAAAATGGTTTGGACATTTAAAACACCCTTACCACAACATTTATAATATACCTTAAAGATCCCATCAATGCATTATAAAAAGTATGAATAATTAGCAAATCAGGTAGAGCGTGGTGTGGGAATTTACAAGATAACTCTTTGAATCTCTCCCAAGCTTCATAAATGGACTTGCTATCTAATCGGGTAAAAGAAGTGATATCATTCATAAGCTTTGCAGTTTTGGATTGAGAGAAATACTTAGCTAGGAACATTTGAGTATGATCATTCCAAAAATTAATAGAATATGATGTTAGAGAAATTAGCCACATCTTAGTTTTAGCTCAAAGTGAGAATGAAAATAAACCAAATCTAATGACATTGTCAGAGATATCATTGTATCTAATGGTTGCATACAATTTTAAAAAGCTAATTATGTGAAGATTAAGGTCTTTAGTAGATGAATCTCCAAACTAATTATTTTGGACCATTTGAATTATGATAAGTTTAGGCTCAAATGTGTTGGCTTGGATGTCAGGGTTATTGATACTCTAATGTATTTCCTTTATTATCGGGTTAGCAGTCCCTAAGTGGTATAGGCTACATTTTTTACTTTCTAAGGGTTTTTCATCCCTCCATAAAGTCTTTTTGAGTTTTGCAAGTTTTCTAAATTTGTTGTTGTTCTTTTCTATCTCAGGATCAAGCCGTACTAGGTAACAAGTTAGACTTTTGATTATACTTTCTAGGACTAGCTAGTGACCTTAAAATAATAAATAACACAAATAAATTAATAAAAAATACTCAAAACACAATAAAGAAAATTATTATGTAAAACAAAGAAAGAAATCACTAGTCACGGTACTTTTGAATTTTTTTAACACAATAAATGGCAATAAAGCAAATGAAAAACATACAGATTGAGATACAAAATAAAAAAAATAATACTACAATTTTTAAATCTAAACTTTCAATTTTTAACTAGAATTCTCGTAAATTGAAAATTTATCACCGATCTTACAAAACAACTCCAAAAACTCGATCAGTCCTGCAATGAAGCACACACAAATCATGTAAGTATACATGTCATTCAAGTAGTATATAATTTTCTTAGTTTGTGTATCGATCCCACAGATAATCAACTAATTTTAAAAAAAAAATGTGAAAGTTATTAAAAGTTTTTAATCCTAATTTTATAAAAAAATAAAACCTAAGAAATGCGAGTAAGGTTTTCTATCAAGTGAGAGAACCTCACTTAAATTGGACCTAATAAACCTAAATTTGTTCAAGTGATTCAAATGTGATTGACAATCAGAAGCAAATTTACTCCTTACTCTCTTCCAAGATCATAAGAAGTCCTATTGCTTCATATTTCAATTTTGTCTCCTAAAACATGCCAAAATTCATAAGATTTTGTGTTTATCTATTGAATGCACAATGCTATCAACAATATTCATATTCTTCAAGAAAAGTGTATGTTAACTTACTTGTTTCGTTATCCTTCTTCCGTCATCCTAGATCACAACATGTTTTAACACTCTAAGTGATGAATTTGAAAGTAAATGAAGCATACAAAGTTAACATGTCAATGTATTCCACAAGAATTTATCAATCACACAACATTGATATCTCTAAGTTTTCTAGAGTACCAAATCAAGGGATAAAATACATTAAGTGTTAATCATGATTTGAAATAACAACACATATTGGATTAATAACATGAAACCAAGTTACTAGAAAAAGGAATTGAAAAACTAGAGTGAGAAAATCTTGCTCCTAAGATTGATTCTTCTTATAAAATTCTCTTCCTTTGCTTGATACAATCACATACTTAAGATCTCTCACAAAGAAAATCTCCCTCATGCACTCACTCACTCCTTCTCGATATCTCACACGCTATCTCATTGCAAAGACTTAGTCAAAATGATAGTTGGAGCGCCCCTTAATTCCTATTCCATAATATTTAAAACATTCATATTGTCACATAAGCTCCCAACAATCAAAACCATCCAAAGTCAATTTTGGGTGGTGTCTTTCTAAGCTCCTAGTCTGGAATCACATCGGGTGTTCTTCTTTAGGTGCCAAGACGTCGAACTGGGCACTGAGTTTCCTGCATTGGGAGCCTAAGCACTTGGCCGAAGCACCTCCTTTCCATCTTCTTGGTTTCCCTGTGGATTGAAGGCATGGGGCAACGCCCAGATGCCAGGTTTGGGCCTTGACTTTCCAATAGCTCGATTTACTGATCGTGTGGGAGCTTCTTCTGGTGCCTGAGCGCTTAAATTGGTTATCGGGGTGCCTGACAATGAATTGGGATCAATTTGATCCAAATAGCCCCTTTTTTTCTAGCTAATAACTCGTAAATCGAAATACACACCAAAATATCCTATAAATTATAAAAATAATACAAATAATAGAAATAACATTAGAATATAAGACGACCCATTTCCTACACATTAGTAACCCCCTAGGAAGTTAAACTAATGAGAAAAAACTGTGAGACTATTAAGCCAAAGTAGAAAATATCTCGATTGGTCAGAGTTCGAGCTATTACCATATATTTCAGCTACATTTGATTTATTTTTGAATCATATTCAAACGACATTAAACTACATTGTCATAAGAATTGAATATGAACCTGGTAACCTTAATTTAATTATCGACAAAATTAAATCAGCTGCTTCAAAAAAAAATGGAAGGGCTTTTCAATTTAAAATAAAAAAATGGGGGCATTTCTTAAACTAGTATGAATTTTTGGCCAAATAAGACTATTAGAGAGCTTACAAAATCAAAATTTTGATTTGGGGCAAAGACAACAATAATCGTCAATAGTGGGTTGCTAATATTGGATAGTGAAATTAATGTAAAATTGGATAGTTGCAAAGACAACAAATAGCCGTCAATAGTGGGTTGCAGAGTTAAAAGAGGTTGGCTGCTAATCTAAGTGGTGAGTTGCTCTCATGGCAGCTGGCTAATTTCTATATACATTAAATTTTAATCAAATAATGACTTTTAAAACTGACCCCGCCGGCTGACCGTCGCCGCCCATAGACCATTGCCGACTGACCACTTGTCGCTTCAGGCCATTTTTGCATCTAGCTAGTAGCCGCTCTCACCTTTACTAGTTATAGCCGCCCCCTCTGCCACAGTTCATCGCCAGCAACCGCGATCTCTAGACAACGCTTGCCTCCTACCGCCCGCTGCCAAACACAGCAAACCGGTAAATTACTTTTTAAATACATTAAAATATATTATTTTCATTTTACTTCCAATTAAATAAAAAAATAAATCATTTATTTATTTTATTTTGAATTAAATTATTTTAAAATAATTTAAATACCATATGTTACTAGTGAATTATATTAATTTCACAGTCCGTTACTTTTTCAAGTGGTAAATCACACCGTTGCTGCCGTCAACCAAGGAACTCCTGAATCCGCACCATAGCTAACGTGTGCCCACTACTTCACGATACCATGTACAAATAACTGACAGTGGAAAATTGATCCATTGCATCCCGAAATTCCTGCATCCCTGGATGTGCTAACTGCCATACTCGTCGTACCCAAGCCGGTAGCGAGCAGTAGAGGGAGCCGTTGAAGACAAAGAAGCCGGAGCGAAGGGAACGAGCGTACATTTTGTTTGCCGCCGCTGGTCGGGATCGTGAACCTGGTGATCTCCCGTTACCCGCCCTACTTGCAGCGATACTGCTGAGCCTTTTATATCGGAGCGAGCTAATACTGGAAGGTTTTGTTTGGGAGAAGGAGATGGCAGACTGGAGGTATCGAGTCGGCTTGATTCTCATCGTTGCCGTGGTGGTGATCTGGGTTATGTCTGCCGAAGTGACGCAGGTTAGAATGATCTCTCTAGTCTTGATGGTGCCAGATTTTATTTTCCTTTGCAATGATTGGTTGTTTTTGGCTTTCGGAGTTGTTTTTGGTAGGCTTGGTGTTTGAGATCTGGGATTCTGTGGGTGGATTGTGGTATCGGGTTTGAGATCGGAAGTGGCTGAGCCGTTTGATTTGCTTGTGTTTTTGGAAATATGATGGGGAGGGAAAGGAGTGGATTCATTTGATCACCGTTGCTAATGGTTGAGAATCAGGAAGAGTAGGCTTTTGATGTGATGAAGGATTTTAGTTGGAATGGGTAACTGTTGCCGTTAATCTTCATGAAAAGGCCATATTAGGAGTGGTGGGATTACAATGTGGATCGTGGCTGATAGACTCTCAAGGATTTAAGTTGCCAAAAGAACAGCCATGTTACTGAGTCATATCGGCAAAAACTGTTTTGAGTAGAGGTTCTTCGTTCAAGATGAGTTTCTCCGTATTATTTTCTTGACACAGTCGGGCTAGATTTTTTTAAGTCAGTAATTTGGATGCCTTCTGCCTCTTTGTTAGACCTGCATTACGTTGTAAACTTTTCTATGCTATTCAAGATTAATAATTAAGCACGACCAACCGTAGCTAGCTTACCTAGCATTTGGCAATCTGGAAGTTTATTGTATCATTTTGTGGAAAAATTAATTTTTGTTCGAGATATTTAAGTTATACCAGCTGACCGCCAAATTTAGACCTACGGGTAATACGTGCAAGATAATGGCAACAGGACGTTGCAGCTTTATTAAATCCTGTAAATCTGGATTTACTAAATGCTGCCAACAGCAGGATTTAGTAAATCTGAGATTTAAGACAAAATTGAGAGGAATTGAGGAGAAACTAGATTTACTAAATCTATGATTTAAAATTTTCCCTTTTTGTGTTCGTCAGATTTAAGTTAAATCACACTTAAATCCCTTACCAGATAGCCCAGGAACTAACTCTTTTTTTATTATCATTTATGAGTTCTAACTTGCATGTTTTGCTTACTTCATATATGGCATGCTTCTTCCTTAAGGCTTTAACCTGGAATCTAATCTTCTTGACACATCATATAAAACTAGTCACTGGTGTGCTTTTTTCATAATTTTGGAGCTTCATCCTTAGATTAAATTTGGAATGATGTGTAAGTTTAGCTACTCGGTTTTTGGTCTTTTGTTGGTGAATTCCCAGTTTTAGTTTTCATTCAGTAGATAAATCTAGTTCTGCTTTTATTTTTTTCTTTTACGAATTAATGCCTATTTGTTATCTTCCATGAGCACAATATTTGATAAAGATTGTTATAGTTGTTGCCGAGAATATTGCTGTTACTATATTTTCTTATCTTGGAATAATTGAAGCAGTCAGTGTGGTACAATTTTTCTGAAACTTTTTTGCTAAAAGCAATAGAGTTTCTGCTGAATTGGCTTATTTGCAAGCTTTGCATTCTTTTCCCCTTTGTTTTGTCATACAATTATTTGATGTGCGTGTTTTGAGGGCAGTAAAGAAGTTTAAGTTGGTTTCTTCTTGATTATATGTTCTTCAATTACTTTTATCTTTGCAGGGTATCTTTGCAGACTACAAACAACCGTTTGCAGTAACTTATTTAGGAGCCTCTCTTATGATCGTTTTTCTTCCAATAGCATTTATGAAGGATTGGATATGCAACATGCTAAGAAAGCATTCTAGAGGAGCCAACAATACTCCCAACCAATCTTCTGCAACTAATTCCCTTGCAGAATCTAAGGAAATGCAGAAAGTGCTTCTAAGTGAATCACATTCCCCTTTAAATCGAGAAGAAAGTGACATTGATCTTTCTGTACAAGACGGAGAGGAAAATGTATTAATTGTGAAGATCAAGAATGATTTTGATGGCCAGAGAGAATCTATAGAGCTTGCTTCACGGTCTATCGTAAAATATGGGTTTTATCTAGCCCCAATTTGGTTTGTAACCGAGGTAGGAAACTTTAACTTTGCAAAGTTTTTTTTTCAGTTTAATTAAATATTTTTCATACTAGTAAAAATGTCGGTTGACCTATACCTTTTTTCTATGGCCATCCAAATAGAAAAGTAAAATACAATTGATGCCATGTTTTCAATATGGCCTAACCATTTAACTGAATTCAGTTCAGATAGGCTTAGTTTCTTTTATGTCAAACTGTAAAGAGAAAAACCATACAACAAATGAAATGAGCCAGACAGGTTTTCATTTCCGTCAAACTCACTCATTATTTATGGACGAATTTTATTTTATCTATTTTTATTTTTTGATTTAGTTTGAATGCAAAAAGAATAACAATAGTTTTGTCTTTAAATAAGCATTTAAATATCTTACTAATGGGATATTTTTTTATGGACATTTATCTGTTGACATGGATTATTGAAATTATGATGAATATAATAAAGAATTCATTCTGTTCTGGTTTTGACTCCTTTTCTTGCCCTGAGGATTCGGCAACCTAACGTTTTGCGTATTCAACATCTAAGTTGTGGCTTACAATCAGGCATATTCTTTTGTTTCTATTTCCTATTGATTTTAACAATTTCTTTGTGCACCTTGTGTTTAAAATGTGCATTATGCACGTGCTAAATCAGAGGGATTAAAGGGTTAAATGTACTCAGGAAATAGAGATTAAATGGTAACCATTCCTTTTGATGTCCACAATTGGACTTTGATTTTAGCTCATGGGTGTGGATGACGGCTTAGAGTGTTAAACTATTAATATAATGTATTTAAGGTCTATTCATTGTGCACAATATTAGTTTTCATTATAATTTCATTTCAATGATAGGCTTGATTTACATGACTTTATAGTATATGTAAAATGAAGGATTTTCAGTCCTGACTGGAAAAGGCGGAGGATTGTTTCTCCATCGAAATTGGTGAGTAAACATATGGGAGATTGCTAGTCTATTTGTTAACAAGTGAACAGCATATGCTGATAAATGAATAGGAGAAGCAGTCTGCTTTAAAAATGAGGCACGGATGCCTATCAAAGCTTCTGTGCTTCCACTCTGTATCTTCGCTTTTATGACCTTTTTATCATCCTATGAGATGGGCATGCTTTCTTATTAGAGAGTTTGATGCAAAAGATAAAACAATAGTGAAACAGAATTATATGATTTATCCTTGGAAGATTTATGTACTTACCGCTTAATTCCTACGTATTTACATATCTAACACCTAAACTTCAACTTTTAATTCTATGCCACCTTACCTATAAATGAAAAAAATGTATATCTTTTTATAAGTTAAAGAAGTGGTACTTTTATTTGTATGAATGATTTATGTGTAGAAATGAAAAATATAGAGTTAAGGTATTGGATATGTAAATAAATAGGAATTGGGTAGTTTGCTTGTAGATGCCCCTTTATCTTTAAAATGAGAGTTTTTCCTTTATTCGATGGCTGCAGTATCTGTCAAATGCAGCACTTGCAAGGACTAGTGTTGCGAGTACAACAGTTCTATCATCTACATCCGGGCTCTTTACTCTTTTTATTGGCGTGCTTCTTCGACAAGACTCCTTAGATGTTGCAAAAATTGTCGCTGTTTTCATTAGCATGTCTGGAGTTGTTATGGCAACCCTAGGCAAGACGTGGGCCACAGATGAGTCTCAACTGAGCTCTGCTGGGTGAGTTTCTTAGGCCCCATTCCGGATCACTTCTTTTTTTTGTTTTTTGTTTTGTTTATGTTTTAATTTGAAACAAAACTTAGTTTGGCTCAAAACACCAAAAATTTATTTTAAGTGTTTTGAAAACATGTTTATTTTTTTATAGAAAGAAAAAAAATAAAAAAATATATTAAAAGCACATTAAACAAGGGAAAAAAAAAAATTTGCCCTGAACAAGCCTTTATTATTTGTCATTTATATGCATGATGCTGATCGCTGTCTTATTGTTCAACCGTTGAAGATTATGTTAATCATGTTGGCCTTGCATTTTTATTTAATTTAATTATATGCAGGAATGGAGAGAGGTCGCTCGTGGGAGATCTTTTTGGTCTTCTTTCTGCTGTATCCTATGGGCTATTTACTGGTTGGGCATTATTTTCGACTCCATTTCGTGTTTGGTTTAAATATCTATTTGGTCAAGTAACTATTATGTACCATTACTAACATTGCAGTGCTTCTAAAGAAGTTCTGTGGGGAGGAAGGGAAGAGTGCTGATGTTCAGAAGTTGTTTGGATATGTCGGTCTGTTTACACTTATTGCTCTATGGTGGCTTGGTAAGGCTGTTGTCATACTTCTATCTATATGCTTTTTTTTCTCTATGAATGAAAGAGCCAATTGTGACGAATGTGATGTCAAATATTATAAGATATATGGTGGCTAAAGTAGTCTATTTAGAGTTTTTTTATTCCTGCTCTGTTTTTTTTGCTTATTTTAAAAAAGACATGAAGACATCTATTTCTCTTTCAATAATTGGAAATTGTTCAAGCGGCTGCTACTGCAGCTTCGTTTTTATTGTCTCGTTCTTCTTTCTTTTTTTTTGGGTAAACTGCTACTTTTGCTTACCTTATCTCTTGAAGTTTAACAAATGGAAAATGCATCTGCTAGCTTCAATAATGAAAGTTTTCTGTGATAATTTTCTCATTTTATTTTATTCAATTTTTGTCGTGGATTAGAGACTATAAAACAGAATTTACGTATTTCATGTATGAAGGAGTACAAGTAGTTCATGCTTTGAAGAAGAGTTGACTGTGAAGATTTCATTAGACCGAATTTACATAAATCTGATTATAAGTTTTATTTATTGATTCTTAACCCACAATCATTATGATTGGTGTTTTTTGGTAATTTCCTTGGGGTTCTTGTGTTATCTTTTGATTGTTTAAATCTAATCAGAAAACCTGCCCACTTGATTCATGCAAATTGAAAGTTCCTTTTTCTGTCTTCAAAGAAGGAGTTTACATACATACCACACAATTCTTATAAATTACAACACCCAATATTTAATATAGACATGCATAACATTCAAATCCTTAATATAACATAAAAATGCCACTATCATCTACTCAAAATGTTTGCTACATTTTTTCATGCATATAGGTTTATCACACCGAAGCGTTATAATTGTAAGTGTGAAAGTTTTGGTGTTAGATATGTAAATTTAAAAGGATATTGTGGTATGTATGTAAATTTTCCATCAATTAAATGCATCACCTTATATTATTATTTTTTCATTTACTGTTAACTCTAACATTAATACATATCTAAAATAAATACGTTATGAGTAAAATATCAAAATAGTCCCCGACTGTTTATATTGGACCGTTTTAATCCCAGACTTTATAAAAACGTCATAATAATCTCCAGACTCTTTAAATTAAAGCTGAAATAGTTGGAGTGTAAACTAAAGCGTTATATTTATATTGAACTTTCCCACCAACATTTGATATCGAGCTGTATTCACTGGGTCACTATTCTTATTTTCTCCCAGTTTCTAATTGGGATTAGTTGGAGTGTTTTGCTGGCCTACAACCACTAATCCCTATTTTCTTAAACATATTTTCGTCGGGAAACAACAATCCCTTTCTTCGATCTAGCAACCTTCATGCTAAGAAAACACCTTAGAGATTCGAAGTCCTTGGTCTCAAAACTTGATGAGAGAGTCTTCACTGGTTTCTTAGATACATAAATCCTATGTCCTTGGTCTAAAAAATTTATAAGCGAGGTCTTCAACCGGTTCAACTCATATACATCATCTCCGGTAAGAATTATATCGTGCAGACACACAATCAGTATGACTATTTTCTCATCCTTTAAATATATGAAGAACAATTTATGATCTCCTTGCTATTGTGTATAACCTTGACATTTAACATGCAATATAAATTTCTCATACTATGCACTAGGTGACTGCTTCAATCTGTATAAGTATTTTTTTAGTTTACACACTTTTTTGCCGAACTTCCCATTAAATCCTGACGGTGCATCCATGTACTCTTCTTCCCGTAAATTTCTCAGACTGAGAAATGTATATTTTTTTTTATTCAATTGTTATAGAGGCTAGTCAAGTTTAGTTGCAAGTGACAAAATAACTTTTATAAATTTTTTTTTCGCTATTAGGTCAAATGTCTCTGAGTAATCAATATCATGTCTATGTGAATCCCTTGATAACTAATCGAGCCTTGGATATTTTTAGAGATCCATTAAAATTATTCTTGACTGTAAACACTTGTTTGCATATGACAGTTTTCTTTCCTTTAGGTAGATCAATCAATTCCCACATGTCATTTCTTAAGAGCTTTCATATTCTGGAAGACAACCTCCTTCCACTTAGGAACTTTCAGAGCATTCAACACAATATTAGGAATCTCCATAAAAGGCAAATGTGTGGTAAAAGCTTGAAAAATGGGTGAGTTTTTCATATGACACATAATGGCACACTGGATGCTGGGTGCAAAGACCTCACTCCCTTATAAGCAGTAATGAGATGATTGTAATTATTAAATTTTAGATTAGGGCTAGACTCAGGTTCAAGACTAGACTCAAAACTCAAAGATGAAGGGACTGTTCATGGGGTAAAGGCTTAATGAGGTCATTGAGGATTTATGGATTTTGGGCAATGAAAAGGATTCGTAGACTCCTTTTGAGTCGTCCTTTGTCACACATAGACATTGTCAAATGTTACTAATATCTTGGTTCATTTTTCCATTTCCTCTTTATTATTTTTTATAAAGTTATGAGCATCATGAGATGACATTGTTGAAAAATCTGTTGTTTTCAATATATAAAAAACTCAACTTACTTTTTTTTCAGATATAATATAGTTTGAATTTTTAGGTTGAACAATCAATGTTGGGAGATTATTTTGCAAGTTTTTTGGTTTGAAGAAATTTTTGAAAAACAATAAAAAAAATTGTTCCTCCCCTCTTCGCTTGAAGATGAGATGAGAAAAAGAAGATTGAAATTCTAAAAAGGTGACATCCATGAAAACAAATATTTCTTTAGAAATAAGTTCAAAACATTTATATTTTTTTTTGGTGGGAGCATAACCAACGAACGCATTTTATAGCTCGGGGTTCAAATTTTCTTTGATTATTACTATGAATGCGAATAAACATAATACACCTTAATATCTTTAAAAGTAAGTAAGAAGAAAGAAAGTTTATTGGGTAATTTTTTTGAAAAAACATCCAATGAAGTTTAATTCTTTATTAGGCGTTATGTTAATAAGGAATGTTGTAGTAAGAATGACTTCATCTCAAAGTTATTTTGCATCCGATTTGTAAATAAAAATACCTGGGCTACTTCAAATAAGTGTTTACTTTTTCTTTGAGCCATATCATCTTGTTGCGGGATATCGACACAAAAGCTTTGATGAACTATTTCTTTTTTTAAAAAAACTGACCTAAAATATTTTTGAAATACACTTGCTATTATCACCCCGTAATATTTGAATATTTTTTTTTAAATTGTGTTTTTGCCATGGTGTAAAAGTTTTTGAAAATTATTTTCCCTTTAGAGTTTTCATTCATTAGATAAACCAATTTAATCATGTGATTAGTATGTAAGATCTTTATAAGGACCCCAAATATCTCTATGAATGAGAGTAAAATATGTAGTTGGTTTGTAAATTTTGCGAGGAGACGATGATGTTTGACAAACTGATAAATTTCACATTAAAAAGATGACAACTTTTTATTTTGATATAAACCGAAAAATGAGAATTTTAAATACTTGAACTAGAATGATCTAACTTATATTATCATAGCATAATATCATTGTCTTTAGAAACAAAATCAAAATTTAAATAAATACTTTAACATTGTTTATTCGCATCAAGTTCATCGCCAAAATAATAAAGTTCATTATTTTTCTTAGCACTGTTAATCATATTTTCAGTGATCAATTCCTGAAACTCAGAATAAGAAGAGTATAAATCAACTTGACACTCATAATGAGAAGTAAATGAACAATAGATTACAAGACAAATTGTGTGTGAGTTTGACACTTCTTATCTTGACCATTAACGAGAGGGAATCATTGACAATTTTTTGACCCTTTTATATCCCGCACAAGGTTTATAAAATGAAATTAATTTAAAACAATTAGTCATATGATCAGTTGCATCAGAATCAATTATCCCAGAGTGAATAGAGTTATGGCTAACACCTAACATTGTAGTAGATAGAGAATTACCCTTCTGCACTGAAGAGCAAGGCGGAGTCCATAGCAATTTTTGAGATTGAAACAACTTGTTCTGGTGGCTAGCTACTCCTTGGTGAAAGGTAGTGTATCTGAGTTGGCAGAAATCTATTGAGTTTCATCAATAGTGGCTCGATAGGCCTGACCTTTAGGTTTGGATTTCGGTTTCTAATTTATAGGTTTATCATAAATTTTCCAACATGTCTCTTTCGCATGCTATGATTTTTTGCAATGATCTCACCACCAATTGTTAGGGCGAATTGATTTTAAAATTGTTGGAACCAGTAGAAACGGTATAAATTTCTTCGAGTGTCGGTCATTGGCGACTCATACGACATCATGAGAGGGGAGGAGAAGACAAGTCTAAAAAACTGAGTCCATTTCAATAACAAGTTATTTTGGCGCTTTAAAGTTGAGTAGAGGAGAAGTTGGCTGAGACGAAACTGGTGGAGAAGAAGCCCGCTGTTGAGAAGAACAAAAATGATGGAAGAGAAGGTCCTTGTCGGAAAGTTGCCTCGCACTTAGAAGTGGCTTTCGGTGTCAAAGAAGTTGGTAAAAAAGAGCTGAAATCTTCTATGCCTTAGTAGGTCTAGAACCTTGACGACAAAATCGTGAGGAAGCTGTGACGTCTAAGCACAGCAGAATCATTTCGGAACCCTCGAGCGCCGCGATCCATGTTTTTGCCTTCTTTGTTAGCTCTATTTGCGACTATATTGCAAGGAGATGAAGTCATGATCCAGTCTTTTTCTTTCGTGCTAGCTCTAATCGTGATGGTATCGCGAGGAAATGAAGCCACGATCCGTCTATTATTCCAGCTAATCGATGGTTCTGGGTAGAAGCGGAGCGGAAGTGGGAGATTGATCAGAGTTTCAGATGTCTTTGTATGTCGCGATTTCATATGTTTTCCCAACTAGCTATAGTCGCGACCATGTCTCAAGTTTTCGAGCCAGAGTGAAACAAAAAGAGGTGACCTCGACGCCCAGAACACACTAGTCATTAGGCCGACGAGATTCAATCACGATTTTGATGACTATTTCTAACTTTGATGCCATGTAAGATTTGTGAGGGAAAAAATAATTATTCTTCTTCAATTTCATAAAAAAACAATTACAAGATAAATTAAGAGGGATGACTCCTACACTAAGACAATAATAAAATCAGCCCATAATGAAATAATAAAATTTGAATTTTAACATATCAATAATTCTAAATCGTAAAAATAGAAAATACTAATAATAAAATCTACTAAAAATAAAATCTTTCTAACAAATGCAACATTTCTTTTTTTACTTTATTATCTCAAACCCTTGGAGAACGTTTTTTTTTTGCTATTTTTTATGGTGTATAGGTTAATTTGGGAATTTTTTTTATGATTGTGCAGAAACTTGCAAAAATTTTATTTAGTGCTTTTCATTTATGTAGTAATGCTAACTCTTGTCGAGCTGTTTCCCAATAAAGCACGTGTTTTAAAAGCTGTTTTTGTTTTGAATTGCTTCGATGAAATACACTGTATGCTTTGAACTAATAACTTTCATGCGTTTGAGTTGCAAAAAATTCTTGGTTAATTCCTTGAAGCAAAAATTCTAAAGTAAACACTGTTGCGTAAAGTGCTTTAAAGTTATCTTGATTTTGAATCGCTTCCCTGAAATACGCTGCTTGCTTTAAATTAATAATTTTTAACCGTTTGAGTGGTCAAAAATGCTTTTTTGTTATTTTCAGTCGATTAATTCTGAGTGAATTTCCTGTGTTTTTCTAATTGAGAAGCATATTTTTTTTTGTGAATTTTGAATCGCTTCCATGAAATTCGCTGCTTAAACATCCCTGCTTTGTTTTGTAGTATGGCCGCTGACCGCATTAGGGATTGAACCCAAGTTTACAATTCCCCAGACTGCTAAAATGGAAGAAGTTGTGCTTGTGAATGGCTTTGTCGGAAGTGTGCTCTCAGACTACTTTTGGTATCGTAGAAATTACTTGGCATTTTCTTCTTTTCCCTTTATCTTCATCTTCTTATTGGTTCTGATAATTTACAGGGCTTTGTGTGTTGTGTGGACCACTCCTCTTGTAGCCACCTTAGGCATGTCACTTACTATACCAGTTGCTATGGTTGCTGATATGGTGATACATGGCCGTCATTATTCAGCTGTGTATGTTGTTGGCTCAGCTCAGGTAATTTAGCTAGAACCTTAAGCATCTGTTTTTAGTTCTTATACTTTTCTTTCTGGATGCATGCAATGTTTCTGCTAATTTTTTAGCAAAAGAACCTGCAATTCTTACTATGAAGCGCCCGAATATGACTAAATATTTATTTTATTACAATGGTAGTTGCACAAATCTAAGTTCACGGGAACTAATTGAATAGCATCGAATAATGACATTTTAGCTACTTGCGATTGTTAATGACTGCCTTAGCTCTTAGTTTTATTGAAAGATTGATAAGAAAAAGTGGATAAAAAAAAAATATTAAATCACTGTTTTTAAAAGCGCGCTTAGAAACGTTCTTCATGAACAAAAGCAAAGAGAAACGCGTAATGCCTGCTTTGCTTTGATGAAGCACGATTCTAAGCGCTGAAGTTAATTTACGGTTTTTTTTGCAATTTTTAAGTTTTTTAATTATTTTAGCAAACTATTAGAAATTTTTTGAAATTTTAATTTATAGATCAATATTTGTCCTTTAAGTTATGTATCATATTACATTTTTTTTCTATTTTATTTCAAATTTTATGTTATACTTTATATTTTTTAATGGTTAATGAAAATATTTATAGATTAATAATTTTGTATAACCTATTGCATTTTGGTTAATAAACAACAGAAGGTAAATAATAAGAATAATATTAAACAACAGAAGGTAAATAATATTTTCTTTCGTAGATATAATCTTTAACAAGAGTACATCAAAGAAGCAGAAACAACAAGTAAGAAATAGATTGAAAGAAATAATAAAATCAAGTGCACCCAAACCCAACACAAAAAGAAATAGAACTACATGCTAATTCTCGCCTTTGACTCTCATCCTTGCCTTCACATCATCTTCACTTCTCTGGCGCTCTTCAAAATCTCAACTTTGGCTCAGTTCTGTCCCATGTCATTTTTTTTTTACCCTTTTTCTTTGACGTTTGCCTTATCTCCCATTATATAATCCACAATTCTACTTTTAGTCCTAGCATCCTTTTCTTCAATTGTGCAACGCCTCAACCTTTGATTGCTACTCGTTTCCAACTCCCAGTTCCAGTTTCTAACACTTCTTATCTCTTATCTACTCAGGTATTATGGCTCGCGGTGATAGCTCTAAAGCCTTTTACTCTTCCATTCCCAATTTTAACTCAGTTTTTTTAGTTGATCATTATACTTTTTTCTTGCCAAAGTAGAAATTATTTTATCTTAAAAATATTATGATCATATTCTAAGCCTTAAAAAAAAAATGTTGGGTTTAGAATTTTATTCGTTTGTGAACCAATAAGCTTAAGTTCTTTTTATATCATATTTGGCGAATTTACTTTCGAAATAGTCAATAATATAGTTGGTTTATCTTTTCCCAAGAACAAAAAAAAAAAAACAAAGCAGGAGCAATAAAAGCATGGGAAAAGCTTGAATTCACATGTAAAATAGCATCCATTATATTTGAGAATTGCAAAAATTAGATGTAAAGGTTTATCAAAGGAAGAATGCCTCATTTCAGAAGGTTCCTATCTTCCTTGAAATATTGCATTTTGCATTAAAATATAAAAAAAAATACAGAAACAGTATGTTGTGTTTTCTCATTTTTTTTACAATTTGCTGCATCATATTTTTGTCGTTTCCCTATCTATATTTCAACTTACATATTTTAAAAGCCATGCACAAAAATCCTCCTTCCTCCAAAGTGGTATCATTTGTAGCAAATGATCGGCGACTTTGCCTTCTGTGACACGGCCTATTCATTTTCGGCGCAGATGACATGTATTCCATTTTTTAAAAGTTAAAATAGTGGTATTTTGAATGTGATATGAAAGATTTCGGTGGTATGAATGTAAAAAGTAAAGTTCAGTTGTTAGATATGTAAATACATCGAAATTGGGTGATATTTATGTAAATGCCCCCAATAGGTACTTCTGAGGAAGCTGCATGGTTCTAAGAAGTCGTTCAAAGTAATTTTCAAGGGGAAATAAAACGTACACGCCTGATTCAATCTTAAAATTTATTGGTTTCACCTGTTTATAGGCAGAAGTTTATTTTCTATAGCTTTTTGTGTGAACAATTAAAGAGATAAATCGTCCTCATTCTTATAGCTGTTTTAGTACCAGTCAATTAAATTAATTTTATAAAAAGGACACAGGACCAGCTAAGAAAACTTTTCAACTAATTCTTTCAGACCATTTGAAATTTTGATGAAATGCATTTAAATCAAGCACGTTTATAACATTCTCTTTCATGCTACAATCATAACCATAAAAATCTGTCAATTCAATTGAAGTCAGAACCTTATTAATTTAAAATCGACTTATAGGGAGATAGGCTAGCACATTTTTTAGGGGCATTTACATACACATTACACAATTCTTATCTATTGGCATATCTAACACCAAAATTTTCATATTTGCATGATATCACTATTACTTTTTAGAAGTGAAATATACATTTTTATGCATAGATTATGATATCAAGGTGTTACAAATGTAAATATGAAAGGTTAGTAATTAGATATGCAAATGGGAGCATTTTCATACTAATCAGACAATTTTTATGTATTTACATACCTAACACCCAAACATTCTTATTGAAATGCATTACCATCACATCAAGAATACCACCATCACTACTTTCTCGTAGATAGGTATATGACACTATGATGCTACAAGTTTGTATGTAAATTTTCCTATGTAAATACATGAGAATTGTGTAGTATGTATGTAAATTTCCCATTGTTTGGTTGTACCTGAACTTTTCCATTTGGTTTTTCCCTATACAGGTATTTGGAGGTTTTGTACTGGCTAACCTTTCAGATAGAATATCCAGGATGCTGGGATTTTAGCAATTGCTAGATCGTTCCTCTTTGCAGTATTTAGGATTTTTCGAAAGCCCAAATTGTGCTGTATTTGGGAAACTGATTGATTCATTCATTTCTTAGAAGGTTGTGGTCAATTATGATTTTTTTTTGGTTTCTATACCTTTTTTAGAGGCGTATCTTCTGTATTAGGTTTGATACAGTATAATTTCTTTGTACCGTCAGTGTTGTTACATGTTGTGTGGAATATGTACAGCTTCGTCTTCTTTCTGATTTTTTGTCTGAGTAATTTTTCTTTTCCAGTTTTGATTTTGATAGATTTTTTAGTGCATTTGGTACATTTATCTCTGATGATATCTTTGTTGTGGATAAGACTAGTGAGAGTACAAAAAAAATTTAATTATGGAGGTCTGTTTAGAGTCTAAAGGTCTTCATTTGAGTAAATTTAAAATTGAGTACATGAAACATAATTTTAGTAGTTGTAGATCTAGTGACAGAGTTATAACAATGGGTGATCGAATCAATAAAATAAGTGAATGTTTTAGATATCTCGTGTCTATTGGTCAAAGTGATGGTGATATAGATGGGGATGTTATTATTAGAATTCAAGTTAGATGGTTGAAGCGGAGGAATGTATCGGGCATATTGTGTGATAGAAAAATATTATTTAGACTTGAATGAAAATTGTGTAAGATGGTGGCGAGACCTATAAAATTTTATGGCGTAGAATGTTAGCCTATAAAAGAGAAGCATAAGACTAAGTTTAGTGTTGTTGGGATCAGAATGCTTAGGTGGATGAGTAGTTTGAATTTTAGAGAATGTGAAATAAATGTATTCTTGAAATGGTAGTTGTTGCTTGGAGAGAGTCATCTTAGATGGTTTGGTCACATTAAAGTCAATCAGTCTGATAATTCGGTGAGGAGAGTAGATGTCTTGGATTCGTTTTATGTTAACAGAAGTAGCGGTAGACCTAAAAAGATTTGGTCATGTTGTATAAAAATGATCTTAATTACTCAGAATTAAATGAATATATGACACTCAATAGGACAATGAAGAAAAATGATTGATGCAGCCAACCTCATTTAGTTGGATAAAGGCTTATCGTTGTTTTTGTTGAGACAATGCATACCATGTAAGCCCCATGTACTGATATATCGAACAACTAGACTTCAAATTTTATTTTTTATCACTCAAATCTTTAATATCACATTAAAAAATATCACTATTGCTATGTATAATTGAAGTGTTATGGATGCAAAAATATCACATGAGGGTTGTGACCGTGACTATAATATAATGATATCTTATGATGATAACTACCCGACAAAGGGCTCTGTTTTTATCCATTATTTTTTTGTGAAACCTTTAGGCTAAAACATGTAGACAGAGGACTCAGGTCACGTCCTTACTAGCATGAGATTATTTTGATTGTGAATATAATGATACACTTGATTTGATATTCACTCTTTATGAGTTGAAGTTGAATAAAAATTTGTCATCCCCAACAAACTGCTGCAGAGGGTGGATGAAATTTGTTTGAACTCTTAAGTGATTTAGTTTTAAATTAATGTTTCGATTTATTGCTTTGAAAATCTTAATTTAAATGTCACCCTACCAATTGAAATCTTCTGTTAACAGGGACATCATCGAGGGATTTAGGCTTTTGAAAGATTTATGCCTAAAATTTATTTGAAATTTTTACAGTTGAATATATATAAAATGTTAGTTATGTCAACTCCAATCTTTATGAAGAGAGAATGAGACTGTGATTTGGACTTGTAAATTATTATATTTGTGCTTTGGACATTATTAAAGTTTACTAGACTCCTCGACTTCAATTTTTAAGAGGATGATGATTAGACTAACTGAGTAAGACTTACGAACTGCCTTATAGTTATGACGACCCAAATAAGATTGTGCATGATTTGATCATTCTGAATTTAACTTCTAAAAGATGACAATTTTTTTTTGTTTTAAATTAATCATAGTATATTCAAAATAGCTTTGCATGTTTCTCAAAACAAAAACTATTTGAGAGCAAGGTAACTCTTACCAGCGCAATATTCTCAAATCATTTAAGTTGAAACACTTAATAAATTTGGTAGAGCACACATGAGTTTTCAATTTTGAGGTTATGCACACATCTCATCACTTTCAGACTACACATTTTACATGAATTTTAACACACATATATGATCATAATGTTCTATGTCGTTCAAAGTTTAACATATTATTTTAGTCATTTGCATGTCACTTGACAACACTTGCATAATTATTTGAAAGATCGTAATTTACTTGCATACATATCTTTTGAGTCTGTATTTTGTGAGAATTTAAAGTCATTTAAAACCATAAAATTTTATTTGGATATCATATTATTGAAGTGTATGCAAAATTATATTTGTGGGCAAAAAAAAGAACTGTCTTTTGTCTGCTTGCAAATTGTAGCCCCCATGGCAAAATTGGTGCATAATATTTTTATTTTGGCATTTTAAAGTAGCATTCATGTATTAAGCTTAGCCCTAATTTATGATATTTTCCATTTAAGTCAAGCCTAGCTCCTAAGTTTAGCCCTTAATTTATGATGTTTCGTATTTAAATCAAGTTTAGCACCAAATTTATGATTTTCACATTCAAGTAAAGCTTAACCACCAATTTTTTTACGTTTTATATTCAAGCATTTTGCAAGTTCAAATATTTCATATTTAAGTTATTTTCAAGCTCAAAGAGTTCAAACTTTAAGTCATTTTCAAGTCTAAATCACCCAAAAATTTTACAACCTCCAGACGTCAACTCTCATTAGGGGGTCATTAGATAGATGTTAGCTGACCGAACTACATAATACATAGTGATTTAGGAATTAAATATTATAATTTTAAAATATATTTTATAAATTTTATAGCTTGAGATTTACCACAGTTAAACATTACACACTAAGTATTTTACGTAAGTGCATGTATCGTTCAAGTAATATATGACTTTTTTTAGTCTAGAGTATCGATCCCACAAGAAAGACAACTAATTATAACGAAAGACTTAAGAAAAGTTCCAATTGAATATAAGTAGTCATAGCTAGGAAATGAGTTCAATTTTAGTGTGAGCTAGTGAATTCTACCAAACTACCACTAATCCTCTAAATTTACTATGAAGCTAGTTTCACCTAAAGTTAAATAAAGTAAGAGAGTTCAAGCTATTCAAAATTACCCTCCCCTTGCAATGAAATTAGTAATTTGTGTAGATGTAGAACATTTAGAAATTCTAGATGAATTTTTTTAATTTTAGCGCGAGCTAGTAAATTCTACCAAACTACCAATAATCCTCTAAATTTACTATAAAGTTAGTTTCACTTAAAGTTAAATAAAGTAAGGGAGTTCAAGCTATTCAACCCTCCCCTTGCAATGAAATTAGTAATTTCGGTAGGTGTAGAACACTTAGAAATTCTAGTTGAATTGTGTGACAAATAGGGGCATTCATTTTCTTTACTCTTTCACAAGTGCATAAAGAAATTAGGTCTAACTATGGAAGTGTTTCTGCCTGTCACTCTAGAAACCTCCTAATTACCCCCATTAGATTTATCTCCCAATGTATTTGCACTGATCTACAAATTAATTTTCCTTCACCCTATAGAATAATGAGGCTTTACTAGTTGTTAACACCACCGCATGCCTTACTATCTCTAGGCTTCTTAAAAAATGTTCTCCCACTCTCCCCGAACTGCCTCCTAGTGAAAATAACCCCAAATTCATGTAAAACCATAGAGAAAACTGTTCAGGACAATTATGGCGCATAGACGCTAGTCTATGGCTGGTGCATAGGCGTCATCTGTTCGGGTGGCCAAGAAAAACTACTGGCGCTGAGGCGTCAATATGTGGCGCCAGGGCACCAACTTTTCATGAATTTGGGCATGATGAGACACTTAGACACCCATATGTGGTGACATGGAGTGGCGCTAGGCGCCAGTTTACTGCTTAACTCCATTGCTCCATTTATCTCCGTAAAGCTCTGTTTTTGCTCTAATCTTTCCAATTGCTTTATCTATTATACCTGTAATAAAAACATAGAAATACCTTCCTTTAGAGTGCAATATTGTCAAAAATAAATATTAAATAGAAAATAAAAATTAAACTGCTACAGGAAATGTCATCAACCTGCCCAACTGTCTTAAAGACTCACTTGTCAGTGTCATGAGAAACTGCAACTAAGAAGCAAAATTTATATATTAATCCATAATCTTAAAAGATGCTATGAGCTTTCAATATACCTATAAAAGACACTCACAAACACAAATTTCCTCGAATAATTGCTTTATATTTTCTAAACAATACTTAATTCCTTGAAGAGGCACTCATGTTTCCTAGAATTGGTATTTAAATCTTTTATTTTTTAAAAAATTTTCCAAAAAAGTATACATTTTTATGAATTGTTTTTAATTTCCTAAACTGGTACTCAAGCTTCATCAAATCAATATTTTAGGTAAAATTAACCCATAGCCCAATTTTGTTATACCTTTGTAAGAAAGATTGATAACAATGTCGATGATCGACGATGTGACAAAATGAAAAGGCAAACAAAATTTTGCTTCTAGTTTTTTTTTTGTTATATATATTAGATGGACTCCATGGACAGTAGCGCAAGCTGATAGGTACTATATGCTTGTTTTTACTTTGTCATTTTTGAATATTTAATAATATGCAAGAACTCTTTGTAAGTTTAAATTTTATGAAAAAGAATGAATCTTTTGTGGTTTGGTTTCCATTATAATTATTAAATCAAATTGTTATATAATTTTCTTCCATCTGAGAGACAATTACGACCTTGGTAACTCCAAGCTATTTTTAGAAAACTTATGTACTTGCCTTCTTTCATGAATTCCACCATCAACTGAGCCCTCTTCTTTTTATTTACTTACCTCTTATGCTGAAAGAATTCCACCATCAACTGAGCCCTCTTCTTTTTATTTACTTACCTCTTATGCTTATGACAACAAGGATTCTCTACTATATGGTTCTTCTGCCTTCTTATGATGGCAGATTATTTGTCTCTTTATGCTTACTCTTAGCTTTGATATTTTTGAGGAGCATGTGCATGCATATCACAAAGTTTATATGTATTTACATATCTAACTTCTAAACTTGATTATTTTCACTTTCTTTATATTTTATTTAAATCTTTTATTTGGGTTTGTCAAATTCTATTTTTAGAGGGTTATGATAAGTCATATGACCCAAGTGGTTTTTTTGGACGGCTCTTCTTATATGCTTTTCTACATACATAACGACAGAATGATCATTTATCAAGAAACAACTGCAAATAAGTTGTTTTTCGAATGCACAAACCAAACAACTAGACATCTTATTCAGATCAAGAGCAAAATGATCATTTATTCAGAAATAACTGCAAATCAATTATTTTCCAAACGTAAAAACCAAACAGTCAGTCAGCTTATCTAGATCAGCTGCTGATCAACAACTTATTAGGATAAACTGCTTATCTAGAAAAGCTGTAGCTGCCCTAAACAGACTCTCAATTACTCGATTTACTTATTTAGGGCAGACAAATGGTAAGGTAAGTCAAGTTATTAATTTGTAATTGATTTAATTAAAATTTAAAATTTTAATTATTTTTTAATTACTATGTTAGTAATGTAAATCCTAAGAAATTTAATTAATGTTCAGAAATTCATAATGTTGATTCTTACACTTTTAGGAATTTTTTTATTTGAGGAAGCTAAGGCATAGGAAGGAGAGGAAATTCTTGTATAAAGTTCAATTACAATAATTAATTATTATTTTTTTATTGAGAAATGTTAAAATGAAATAAGGAACTCTAAATTTAAAATTGAATTACAATTAATTTTTACACATTTGACAGTGACTCTCAACAATGAAAAATATAATAGACATAAATGGAAGTAAATTAAATTGGCTGTTTTATAGCTCTCTTTTATTGCACAATATTTTACTTTTTAATGTATATTCTTACAAAATATTTTAAAATGAAAATTATTGTAATTTATAAAAATTTGCCTAATGCGTAGTTTTTGCTCAAACCTTTAGTTGCCAACATTTTACAAGAAAATCAGTTGTACATTAGATGAACCCCAGAGAATAGGTACTCTGTGTTAGTTTTTATTTTGTATTTTGTAAATATTTAAAAATATGTACGAATTGTTATGCAACTTTAAATTTTATGAAATAGAATGACTTGTGGTTTGATTTTTATTTTAATTATGAAATGAAATTGTTAGATTGCTTTTTTTTTTGTTCGATTGATAATTCCCACCTTGTTAATTCTAAGTTTACGGGTCGAGTCGTGACATTTATTTTGTTTTAGTTATATTCTGATTTGAAATAAAATATGTTTTTATTAATTTTTAAAATACACAAAACACCTAAAATTATTATAATTGATTTCAAAGTAATATTAATTTTTTTAGAAAAAAAATATAAAACAAGAAAAACACACACTAAATTTATATAATAAAAAAATAATAATAGAAAAAAAAAAACCAATATAATCCTTATTTAGGGTCATGTTGAATTGCCATTAGGGCTGTCGAAATGACTCGTTCGCGAACAACTTGTGTTCGACTCGTTTAGTAGCTCGTGTTCAATTCATTCGCTAAACAAACGAGCTGAATACAAACAAATTTTTTTTTTGCTTGATATATAAATGAGTCAAACACGAACAAAATTTTGTTCGTTTGTATTTGATTCATTTTGGCTCGAAATAAATAAATAAATAAATAAATAAATAATATGAGTTAGGGTTTCATCATAAATTTTGATATTTGAGGGTGATATGTATAATATTCTCTATTTGACGATAAGGCTAATAATCAATTAAATTAGTAAAAATAGAACAAAAATATGTTAAAATTTATTTAAATGAATATTTTAATATAAATAACAATAGTTAAATCTCGTCTACTAACATTTATGGCTTTGTGATTCGGGTTGTTAAAGTAGTTCATTATTCGTGAATAACTCTTATTTGGTTCAACATAAATAAATTTTTTGAGCTTGATATATAAACGAGAAATATGAAATGCGAAATGTAATATTTTTTAACTAGCTGAATTTAGACCGCTCAAATTCAACTCGTTTACATCTCTCATGATTGCATGCATAAGAAGTGTCAAAAATTTTTTTGGCTCCCGAACTGTTTATGTTCGGCTCATGAGCTGAATAGAACTAAATTTTTTAGCAAACATATGACGCGCCGATTTCGGAAAGGTTTGCACAGACTTGAATAACTCGAAAACCGCAATCCTGAAACAAAGAAACGCATAGCAGATTAGTGCTCGTGGTCATCGAGACCACCTTTTCTCCTCCCTTCACGCCCAGATCAGAAATGGAGATCATCCACCACCATCCCTCAGATTCTCTAGCGACTGTTATGGGCTCAGATCGGCGAAGAAAACCCTACTCCAACTCCTCCTCGCCTTCCACACAATCAAGTAAAGCCTCTCTCATCATGGGCTTCATCTCTTGTCTCGCCTGGTTGTATGTCGCCGGCAGGTAATTTTGTCCTTCACTACGAATCGGTGAATTGATTGTTTTTTCTTCACTTTTTCCTTACCTATAGATTTTTTTTCTATCAATTGTTTGCTAGATTGTGGCAGGACGCTGGGAACCGAGCTTTACTCTCCAATCTCCTTCATAAAAGCTCCCGCAATGTCTTTATTTTGTCCCTTTTCGGTTCTTCCTCTTTATTTCTTTTTAACATAATGCAGATTATGGCTGACCATCCATGCGCTAATTTTGTGCAGCTTCCGAAAGTTGTTACAGTGGAGGACAAGTTGATGGATCTTGGATGCAAGTAATCTCTATAGAATATTTTGCATAGTTATTGTTCCTTAATAGCTTTGAATTTGTTACAGTATGAAGATTGTGTTGGTCTTGCTTTTTCCTAGAGAGATCGGATTGTGGAAGCTGAGATGGATTTAAGTCTGGCGAAGAGCCAGGGTTTCTTGAGACATAACAGCTCATCTTCAGATCGGAGGCTTCTTGCAGTCATCGGAGCATATACTGGATTTGGGAGTCGACTCAATCGCAACAGGTTCCGAGCCTCCTGGATGCCCAGAGGTGATTTTTCAGTTCACTAACCATTGGGCTGTTTATTTCAGTATTATTTAGGTGTCAGATGCCAATATTATCAGTATAACAATGTGTATTTGTCTTGTATTATATATAAAATTGTTATTTATAAATGCCCAACTTTAGTATGCTTTGAATATTTGAGAATAGTTGCAGTGATGAATGTTTACTGAACAGTCCTTGTTGTGAAACCTTTCATCAATGCTTTAGTTTCTTAATTTCCCTATACTTTTCTTCTACATTATTTTAGATTGAAGGTATTTAGCCCATTAAGCACTTTTACAAACAGAGTTATAGGGTTAATCCAAATCCAGGAATATAAAAAATTTGTTGTAAAACAAGTTATGGGGATTGTAAATTATGGTTTCTTGGCTTATTAAACTTTTTAATATTACTTTAAAAATTAAAAAGATACATGAGTGAAGAAAGAGTATATTGGTTCCCATTTTTAAAAATAAAGGGGATACACAAGAGTATGCAAATTATAGAGTAATTAAGTTAATGTGTCATTAAAATTATGGAAGAGACTAATTGAACATAGATTAAGACGTGATACAAGATTTCTCATAATTAGTTTCGATTTATGTCGGGTAAGTCTACTATGGAAGCTATACATTTTTTGAGAGGTTTGATACACAAGTACAGAGAGAGTAAGAGGGATTTACATATGATTTTTATTGATTTAGAAAAACATACGATAAGGTTTGAAGAGAAGTTCCTTGGAGAGTTATTGAAAAGAAAGATGTTGATATGACTTATATTCAAGTCATTAAATATATGTATATCAGAGCTGTTACTTGTGTTTGAACAGAAAGAGGATTGACACAGTGTTTCTATTTGAGTTGGATTACATTAGGGATTGGCTTTAAGCGCGTATCTTTTTGCTTTAGTTATGATTGCTCTTATTGGACATTTATAGGAGTATGTACCTCGATCTATGCTTTTTGATGATGATATCCTTCTTGTGAATAAAACTAGAGAAGTAGTTCAGGAAAAAGTTGAATTATGGAGGTCTAAATTGGAATTTAAAGACTTTTGTTTGAGTAGATCTAAAACTAAATACATGGATTGTAATTTTAGTAGCAGTAGATCTAGTGACGAATTTGTAACTATGAGTGATCAAATCATTAAAAGGTGTGAACGTTTTAGATATCTCGGGTCTATTCTTCAGAGTGATGGTGATATTGATGGGAATGTTATTAGTAGAATTCAAGCCATTTGGTTGAAGCGAAGGAATGCATTGGTCCTATTGTGTGATAGCAAAGTACCGCGTAGACTTAAAGAAAAATTTTATTAGATGATGGTGAGACCTACAATGCTTTATGGTGCAAAATATTGACCTTTTAAAGAGAAGCATAAAACTAAGTGTTGCTGAGATGAGAATGATTAGGTGGATAAGTGACTTGATACCTAGAGAAAAAATGCGAAACAAATGTATTCGCTAAAGGGTTGGTGTAGCTCCAGTGACAGACAATATTAGAGAGTTGTCTTAAATGGTTTGATCACATTAAATGTCAACCATTTGATGATCCAGTTAGGAGAGTAGATATTTTAGATTCAACTTATGTTAAGAAAAACAGAGGTAGATTTAAAAGATTTGGGCATATTGTATGAAAATGATATTAATTTATCAGAATTATTGAAAATATGATACTCAATAGAACACGATGGAAAAAAAGGATCCATGCAGCCGACCCCACTTAGTGGGATAAAGACTTGTTATTGTTGTTGTTGTATTTAAGTCATTACAAGATGTGAGAAAACTGTCCATTTATTGTTTGGTATCAACTTCAAGTTTTCCGCTGTGTTTCATCCTTAAGCTGACATATAGACCGAAGTGGTACATAGGAATTTAAAAACCTTATGAGATGTCTATTTGGTGAGTATCAATTAATTTGGATTTTATTTAAACCTTTTTTGAGTAGTTTTCAATAATTTTGTATCCAAAACTATGGAAATATGAGAAGATTTGGTCCTTTCTATATTTATCTCTCTCATGTTGGTTGACCACTACCTCCAAATCTCGAAGGATTTGATTGGGATATCATAGAAAACCTTTTTTGGTTTATTCCGTTCCTATTTTATGTCTTTCATATTTTTTATTCAAAATTATTTAATTTCCTAATTTAAGTGAGATGTTTGATAAGTTTGTAAAAAAGGAGGGGTTAATTTCCCTTTATATATATATGTGTGTGCGCAATCTATGAATAGTGAATTAAGGAATTCATTCCTCCCAAACCTGTTTTCAGTATGGTATCAGAGCTTTGAAAAAAAGCCCTAGCTTCCTTTGTCATGTAAATCTCATATGATGTTGGAAATCATGTCGGCTGAAAATCTTCTCTATCAGCTTATAACCTGTACTTCCCTGCATCCCCTCTTCCTATAGCCGGTACGCCGCCTGCTCTGCCTTCCTCTACCATTAACAATAACTAGAAATCCATCCCATCCTTGCAAACAGTCCTTTGCTACAATGAGATTCTTCCCTGCAAACAATCATTTTTTGCAGCCCCCAAAATGTTAGCAGTTGAAATTCTCCAGCATTCAGTTTTGGGCAGCTGCAGCTTATCTAGCTTATCCAAATCAACAGTCTATTCTGATAAGCTGTTGATCAACAACTTATCCTAATAAACTGGTTGGTTGTTTGAGATAGTTGTTTCAAAACAGCTGATTTGTAGTTGTTTGTGGATAAATGATCATTCTATCCTTATTAAGTAATGTTGTTTGTAACATAACTGTCTTAGCAATATATTTGATATTGCAGAGTATAAAACTAATACAGAACAGTAAAGACAAAAGATGAAACAGTCCACAATCAACAGTGAGGTTCAAGATTGATAAAAAAAGGAAAAAAAATTATTAAAATTACAATTAAAATTACGATAATATTAAATTTTTTTGACATTTACACATGCCACCAACTTTTATGTATTTTTATAGCCAACACCAAAACATTAAATATTACATTAATGACACCGAAATCTTTCATATGATATCACAAAAATCATCATTTTAATCATTTAATGCATCTCCTCATGCATAAGTAAGGTGATATGTATGAAAAAATTTAAATGTTAATTTTAAATCTATAAATGCATCAAAATTGAGTGGTATGAATGTAAATATTTTTTTTTTCTCCAGGATAAATTTCCGCTCTACCACTCATCTTCTTCCTTAGTATGATAAATTTGATTTCGAGCAACAAGTCTACATGAACCTTGATTACAGACCCGTCAGTCCACCCAATTGACTACCACTGTTACTCATCCCACCCCGCTTCCCTCTCCATTTTACCCTTCGTGGCACCTCCTCTACTCCTACTCCGCCGCACTCCACTCCTTCCCTGCTACCTCTCTCCTCCCCCACCACCTTCGCATTCTTCGCCACTCCCCTTCCGTCCTCCATCTCCACCCGGATCCCTTCCTCCGCCTCCACACCACTTGCACCCCCTTCTTCTTGGCCTCTCTCCCTCTTCCCTTTCATCCCCATTCCACGCAGCTGATGCCGCGTCTTCCTCCGTCATAATCTACGTCCTCGACACCGGTATTTGGCCCGAATCCCCTTCATTCGACGACACCTCCTTTCCTCCCATCCCCTCTAGATGGCTCGAACAACAGAAGGGCACGGGAGGTAATTATTTGTCGAATGCACATCCAAGACGCGGGCCGCAGGGTCGATCCCGTAACCCTGTCTATTAAGGAATTAAAAATTGCGTTTCACAATAATCTTCTCAAACAAACTTAACTAACAACACAACGACGTTTTGAAAACACCGCCCACGCTAATAAACTGCCCCAAACAACCCCTAAATCTCTCCCAAAATTCTTCTAAATCCCTCCCCGCTGAAGGCTTTCTCTATCTCCCAAAACTCAGGCTTCCTGAAGGCTATTTTCCCCAAATTCAACAACAGGAGAAGCAACGAAAACAAGCAAAAGATGCAACGCCAATGACAACTAGCAGAAACAATAACAACAATGGCAACAAGCAGTTGCAGTCAATTTTAAACCAAGAACCTGTAAATATGCTTAGGGATGATGACAAAGTACGTTATGAAGACGTCAAGTTTTACCCTGGAGCCGAATTCTGAGTTAGGTATCAAGGATTTTGTCTAAACTACTCTTGAACTCTCAAACTTAATCACAAATCACAAACTCAGTGGTCATAATTTTCTTCAATGGTCACAATCTGTGTGTATGTACATTTGTGATAAAGGGAAAGAGGGCCATCTCACTAGAGAGGACACAGTTCCTGAGATCACTGACCCCAACCACTATACATGGAAGAATGGAGACCATAATGTTGTTTTGGCCAGTCAACTCAATGAAACCTGAAGTGGGAGAGAATATTTTACCCTACAAAACTGCTAAAGAAATCTGGGAGGTTGCAAGAGAAACATATTCTAACATCTGTAGAGTTGTTTGAGATCAAAACCAAGCTTCATGACCTCTGTTAGGGAGAGCTAAGAGACACCCAATACTTAAACATTTTAACAAAATATTGGCTACAATTGAATATATTTGAGATACTTGTGGAAATGTTCACAAGATACCGTGACATTTAAATCTATAATTAAGAAGAAGAGGACCATCAAATACTCAATAAGATTAATTTAGGAATTGGATGAGATAATAAGGAGGATCATGGGAATAAATCCACTTCCATCTCTCTGTGAAGCCTTTGCTGATGCCATGAGAGAAAAGAGCAGGAAGATGCTGATGTTAACAGGGAATGGGAGTTCAACTGAAAGTTCAGCTATGTACGCCTATAATTCTTCCCATGACTCACAGGTCATGAAGAACCGTCCTACATATGATTATTGTAATAAGATTATGCATATCAAAGACAAATGTTAAAAATTCCATGAAAGGTCTGCTGGCTAGAAACCTAGACGGGGAAGGAAGGATCAAGAGAGAAAGACAAATGCTGCTACTATATCCAAATGATCGACATAATTATTCAATAAGGAACAACTTAAAGTGTTGAAGAAATTC